CAGATGATCAAAATCAAATTGTACCATGGTGTAGAAATTATCGTTTTTTTTTCATAATTTTATCGAACAAACTGACTTTACTAGTGTGACGTTATCGAAGGTTGGTTAATTTAAGAGTTTATGGGGTTAGATTTGGCGTAATTTGATAATAATTTTATTGAATAAGCATATAAAAGAAAACAACACTTAACCCCAGACAACACACCAAATCCCAGAGATATCCACAGAATATCTTTTGTGGATATCCAATAGATATCCAATATAGCCACAGGATATCAGAAATATTCCGTGGATCTAAAATGGATATCCAAATGTCCGTCTATATCCAGAATATAGAAGCTATCCCCATGGATATCCAGCAAAATATCTAATGGGTATCTTCCAGACAATACAAGAAATCCCAGAGATATCCACAGAATATATTTTGTGGATATCCAACCAAATGTCCATCTATATCCCAGGATATTCGGATATTCAGCAAAATATTTTATGGGTATCTTTAGTAGAGGTTCATAAGTAACCAATGATTATTGAATAACGTCGAAAGAAAATAGCGGAGATAAAAAAATATTTTCAACACTCCAAAATATTTTCAACACTCCAAAATATTTTCAACACTCTGCCTTTGATTTTACCCACTAAGTAGAAAGTCATCCTTATTAGGACTTTTCAGCAATAAATGGAAATTCTCGACTTCAGTCTCTAATGGAGTCTGATAGTATACAAATTTCGATCGAACTCAATTACGGCGGGTTGAGCATGAGTAGATGCGAAAGTGGTATCGTCATCTATACTTAGTAAGCAAAATCAAAAATTATCCACGATGGTTTGCGTTCGCGCCTAGACTTTGAAATATTTAGTGGATGTCCATGGTATATTAAATACACCTCAAAAAAATTAATTTTAAATATCTGAACGGTACTATTAGCCACAATGGCGAGCTCAACGGCGTAATTTTTTAATAATTTGCTATATAATTACTATTATTTATGGACATTTGCATGTGTATAAATTACATCTCATGGATATAAAATAGATATCCATCATGGACTGGGCATTCAGTGGATACTGGGATGTTCAGTAGATATCCAAAGGATTTGGTGTGCTGTCTGGGACCTTTTCTTGTTTCAAAAATAATTTTTTCTTCTTGTAATCCTTTCTCATTTTGATCTTCCAATTGTTTTTGTCTATATATTTTTAAAGATGTCGTGAATTTCATTTCATTTGTAGGTGTGAAACTTACACATCCATTACCCAAAGGATTTGCGCACTTTCCTTATGTAAAAGTGACGACAGGTTAAATTTTCTGAAACTTTGATATGTTATTTTACTCAACCTAGTAACCAAAAGTGTTAATAGGCTCAACTCAATCCTATGACTGGTTTTCGATATACGGGCTCGTTAAAGTTGAAGATTGCTTAGATTTGCGAAATTTTTATTTTTAAAATTACGAGCTAGATTGAATTTCTGTTGCATGCACACGTTTACATGTTTTATTATTACATTAGTACCTATGTACAATTAAAAATATTTTTAGTTACATGGTGATTCACAATGTGTGAATAATTTTACTATGTCGTCTGGGAAGCATATTTAAAAAAAATAAAAAATTATAAAATACACATTTCTGTTTTATAGATTACCCTATATTATTTTAAAATCTTGTGGTTGCATACTCAATGTAAGGTTATTAACTTTGTATTACCGGTGCAATGAGAACCAGCCCTACGGCCGCAATGGAGGTGATCTTAAACGTCACCCTTCTACATTTGATGATAGAGAATATGGCAAAAAGGACACGATATAAAATGATCAGGAACCGAGTAATCAGACAAAAGTCTACTTGCTTCAGGACTAAAGATACCTGGGACATGCCCCAGGATGAAGTACAGTTCTTCAAACTTCAAAACCACAGAGCTGGGCTGCAAGAAAGAATGGAGCCAAGAATCCATCGCGCTTGCAACCGAAAGACATACTATTCAATGGTATAGGGACGGTTCTAAAACCATAGAAGGAACTGGAATAGGAGTATATGGGTCGAGAAGCTTGGGAAAATACCCAAGCATCTTCCAGGCGGAAATTCACGCCATCGAGAAGTGTATCCAGTTTAACATCGAGAGAAACTATAATAGGCAAGAGATTGTAATCATGTCCGATACCCAAGCAGCCATTAAAGCGCTGAGCTCTTACGTAATCAGCTCAAAAATGGTCTGGAAATGCTTAGAACAATTGAATGAGCTAGGCGAGAAAAATAGAGTTACTCTTACTTGGGTCCCGGGACATAACGGGACATAGGGTAACGAGATTGCAGATAATCTTGCAAGGAGGGGCTGAAACACCCTTTATCGGACCTTAGCCGTTCTGCGGTATTAGCAGTAACATAATATTAGGAGACATTAAAAAAGAATTGGGCAATAGAAGAACCGATAATTGGAGCAATCTCTTGAAGTTGAGACAGGCTAAGATACTTCTGGGTGAATATAATCAGAAAAGATCGGAAGCCTGCATCTGCCTGAGCAAGAACAGGCTACGTATTGTAACAGGGATCCTTACCGGGCATTGCCGACTAAAAGGACACCTTAGTAAACTGAGAGTAGTAGAGGATAGTGTGTGCAGATTCTGTGAGGAGGAGGATGAAACCTTCATTCACATTCTAACTAAATGTGTAGCACTTCAGAATCCAAGGGCACTATACTTAGGAGGATATCAAATAGAAGAAGGAGATTTACCTAACTTGAAGCCACTTCAAATCCTAAACTTCCTTAATAATATAGGATTGGAAGAGTCGTTATAGGCATTGAGGCATTTCCTTGGTGCATAAGCGACAGAAGGGGACACAATAGATCTTTTAGAGAATTTCAATTCCTTTTTCTCGGGCCATCTTGTCTATAGTATATTTTTTGAATTTGTTTTTATTTTACCTTGCAATTACGAGTAATTCTGCCTTCAAGAATTTAGGACGACTAATAATATTTTTAGAATGAAGTCATTTTAAAATATATTCTTCTTTCATCTTATTGTAGGTAGTGACTCCTTTAATCGACTGTGATAGGATACATTATCCAAAACAATAACAAAATTATCTGGATTTTTTTTTATGTTCTCAAACCAATTTTCAAACATATAGCCATCCATTACTCAATGATAGTCTTTTGTTTCCTTTCACTCGAACATCAATAAACCATCTGGCCAAAATCCATTGGTGCTTCGAGACCATTTCCATAAAGGCTTGTTTCTTACTTGTGATGGATGTATCTTGTCTAATTTTTATTACTATATATCCATCATTAACCCATGTTTCATTCAAATAAAATAGTTGTTTATGCTGATTCCTTTTTTCTTATGTCTCCCCGCAATGATTTCGTCATTCTCTGTAAAAAGTTGTTTCTGTCACCTTTTTTGTAACGAAAATTTAAATCATGTAATATTTTTTCAGATAAAAATATGATATATTTGGAAGTGGTGCTATTTTCTATTTCTCAATGTTTTTTTAAGAAAGAAAAAATACTGTAATAACCCAGTTTCAATAAAGGTTTCTTCCTGGGGACTTTTGCGGATGTGAGACTTCTCCAATAACTGTATCTTCTTTAATAATGTTCGCTTAGATACTTCAGTATAGATCTCACACTTAGTGGCTTTTTTTTATCCACAGAAAGTGAAATAAATTCTTCGAAGATTATTAAATACATTAAGTTGATATTTTTGTCTTCTAAAGATAATATGCTTTATGTCCACTAGGTTGTTAACGCGTACTTGTAATTATAATATTTTCTAATGCACTAACCATTCTTATATAACTATAAAATAATTAAAATACATACTATACGGCTATGAATAAATAAAGTCTCACTTAGTTTTCAGACGAAAAGGTTAACTACAGTAAAAACCATGGAAACATGATTAAATCTAAACGAAAACTTTTATTAGACGGTCAAATGTATTAAAATTTTCATTTTAACTAGAAATAAGCATTGAAAGATGCGGTATAAATAAAATATCTACCTCTTAAACCTGTACTACGTTTTGCAAATTCAATTACTGCACTCCTTTTCTTCTCCAGACTATAGTGGAGTAAAACATGATTTTAAAATATAAAGATACATCATACCTAGTGACGTGTTTTACTTTAGACCAAATGGACTATGGTTATTTAAAAAGAACCAAGCGCCAAATTGGAGTTTTGAGATATTAGAGGTTAAAGATCATAATGCTTTATTAAAATAATGAGAGTAGAGAACTCCAGCTTTGTGAACTAGTGTCAGATAGTTAATATGTTATCATAGGCACAATTATATAAGTTTATTAAGTCACCTAGAAACATAAGTTTGAAGATATTTTTAGCGGATGCGGTTCCCATTATTGAAATTAGGAATTTCTGTTTTCTAATGTGTTGTTTGGATCACTGGCCAAAAAAATGGCACTAAAGTAGAGCTAGTAATTGGATCTTTTTATACAAGGTAAATTAAACCTTCTTCTGTCGATTGGTGCCTTTAACTGCATTTTTGACATTTTGTCTCTTGGTTTCTTTTATGGTATTGAATTGGCAATGATATAAGGAGGAAAATTAATACTTTATGGACTTATTTTTTCGCATACAGGTCTGACGCACATTCGCTCCGCTAGTCGTTAAGGAACAAGCCAAGCTTATAAGGACATTTTTCCACTAAAAATGTAATCACTAATTTTTAAACGAGAAGTAGTGCGAATTTGGCTCTAATTAGTATTCTTTTTTTTGGTAATTTGACCTTAACATTTTCTCATATTTTGAATTTCATAGAACTCATGTTGTTTTGTATCAAAAGTTTTATAGATTATCTTATGCAAAGCAAGTAAAATAACAAAGGTTGTTTTAGTTTTATAATTGGATACTTTAGTTTCCGATTGTTTCATTTTATATAAATTAGAATAAAACGTATTATCAATAGACGCCATTCCTTTTTTAGAGATTTTTTGTTTCATAATATTTGAATTTAATTTTAAGCTTAGACACTTGTACTTACTCTACTAGTCGGGCTAAAAGCAGATTCATCTTCGTTATTGTCATCATTTGGCTCAAGAGTAACAACATCTATGCTTGCTGGTACTGCGTTATTATCTCCACCAGCTGGAGACCCAGTAATAGTTTCATGGTGTACACTTTCCTAAAAATATTAAAATTGATTTTTTGAACTTTCACCAGACAAATAATGATTTATATTTATTATAACAGTAATAATATTGCATATTAATAAATACTGAAGTTCCAAATATTATTATTTAAACCATTTAAATATTTGTTTTAGTTAAACTTAAAATTATTATTTTTTGCAAAATTCATATATTTCTTACCTGCGTTTTCCCTCTTGATTTAACATTGTTTCTGTTATTAGCAAAGTTGTAAAGATATTGAGCCAAATATGCAATAGGATCATCTGGTCTCTTGTTAGCAACTTCAGTCAAGCCTTTGATAAGGGGATCTCCTAATGCTATGAAAACATTAAATCAATAAAAATTATATTACCATAAAGAAATCAAGGAGATCTCAAAACCTAGTGTCACAAAATATTAGGCGCGACCGTTTATTTCCCCCGGAAAATAATTATGCCTCTGCCTAAAACAACAACACGCTTTGGATTATATCCAAAGAAAAACAATAGAGGTAAAATACCTATTTATGTAACCAGTTACGAAATGCCTTAGTTTATGTAACGAGTAAATATTTAGTTAAACAAAACGGCATTTTGTAACGTGTTACATACAAGGTTTTTTTAATTTTGACTTGATTATTAATACAAATGTGACTAGTATGTCCTAAGTTGGATCTCAAATCGAGCACGTACAGTTTTAGTATATAAAAGGGCAAATTAGAAAAACTCTGGTGTCGAAACCCTGTGCACGAAGGTTGGGAGGGTAAATAGTTAAAGAAAGAGAAGGAGGAAGAGAGAGAGATGAGAAGATTAATATGAACGTGTTAACAGTGCACGAAATTGAGAGGATAAATATTCAAAGGATAATTCATTGGTTTGTTGAAGAAAAGTCTAGTTCGTGCATGTGCTTACCATTATTTAGATTGATAAAACCTTTATAAGTTATATTAAGAGGGTTTTCGTTTAATTTTTTTAATTCGTGTTTATTTATAAGTTTAGTATATCAATCAGGTAAAGTAATTTTAAATGTATCATCTAAAACACAACTAATTTTTGTATAAAATTTTGTATCTAAAATGTCAAAATCAATAGCCTTATGTTTTATTGGTTTCAAGCTCAGTTAGTTTTACAAACTCGTATAAGCGGTTTAGTTTTTGAATAGCGACTCCATTTTGCTTGGTATTTATAAGAGAAAAAATTTAAGAAAGTTAACGTATGTAAATTATTTAGATTCTTACACACCTTACACGCCTTTTCGATTTTTCGATTTTTCATTTTTTCGATTTTTCCATTTTTCAATTTTTCAATTTTTTGATTTTTCGATTTTTCGATTTTTCGATTTTTCATTTTTTCGATTTTTCCATTTTTCAATTTTTCAATTTTTTGATTTTTCGATTTTTCGATTTTTCGATTTTTCGATTTTTCGATTTTTCGATTTTTCGATTTTTCGATTTTTCGATTTTTCGATTTTTCGATTTTTCGATTTTTCGATTTTTCGATTTTTCGATTTTTCGATTTTTCGATTTTTCGATTTTTCGATTTTTCGATTTTTCGATTTTTCGATTTTTCGATTTTTCGATTTTTCGATTTTTCGATTTTTCGATTTTTCGATTTTTCGATTTTTCGATTTTTCGATTTTTCGATTTTTCGATTTTTCGATTTTTCGATTTTTCGATTTTTCGATTTTTCGATTTTTCGATTTTTCGATTTTTCGATTTTTCGATTTTTCGATTTTTCGATTTTTCGATTTTTCGATTTTTCGATTTTTCGATTTTTCGATTTTTCGATTTTTCGATTTTTCGATTTTTCGATTTTTCGATTTTTCGATTTTTCGATTTTTCGATTTTTCGATTTTTCGATTTTTCGATTTTTCGATTTTTCGATTTTTCGATTTTTCGATTTTTCGATTTTTCGATTTTTCGATTTTTCGATTTTTCGATTTTTCGATTTTTCGATTTTTCGATTTTTCGATTTTTCGATTTTTCGATTTTTCGATTTTTCGATTTTTCGATTTTTCGATTTTTCGATTTTTCGATTTTTCGATTTTTCGATTTTTCGATTTTTCGATTTTTCGATTTTTCGATTTTTCGATTTTTCGATTTTTCGATTTTTCGATTTTTCGATTTTTCGATTTTTCGATTTTTCGATTTTTCGATTTTTCGATTTTTCGATTTTTCGATTTTTCGATTTTTCGATTTTTCGATTTTTCGATTTTTCGATTTTTCGATTTTTCGATTTTTCGATTTTTCGATTTTTCGATTTTTCGATTTTTATTTCGTAACTGGTGACATAATCAAGTCGTCCCGCAAATATTTACCGTTACATAAAATATCCCTGCCGTTTTTTTTTTTTCGCATACAACTGTTGTCCAGATGAAAATGGTGGCGCGTAATATTTTGTGATGTTTTTGAGATTATCTTGTGTTCTTTAGTTTTCGTCGTGGTTACAATTGAGTTTAAATAGTCAATATTAAAACAACGATAATAGTAGTTGGTGCAACAAGAGTGGATTTTAGGATTCCCCACTCGACCATTCACTGTTGGGTTCTAATTAACAGTGCTGTTCCTAAAGTGGCGCTGGGAAACAGTAACAAAGCCTACACAGAAAACGAGGCTAAATAACATTAGCAGTTGAAGCCGATTACACAAAAAAGAGTGGATTTTAAGGCCATATCGTACGAAGATCGAGTTGTACAGTAAAATTTTTCTACGACCCACTTACAAAAATCTAAAAATTTCATAAATTATTCTAGGTCATTAAGATAAAATAACTAAATTAAATAGTTACATATGTATTAAGGGCGTAAAACAGGTATTTATGGACCGCAACGTGTAACACGTAATGTCCATAAACGGTGTTTACGCCCGAAATACATACAATATTTTATGCACGACCCTTTTAATGACAATTTATTAACAAAATTTATAACATTTTATGTACGACCGTTTTAATAATCGTTTATTAATAAATAGCTATTGTTTTACTAACTAGACATGAGTTTTTAAAAGAAATAAATAAATGATTTTTCCTACGATCACTTAGGAAAGTGCCCTATATCACACGTGTATGAATAAGAATTTACTTTCCACCCGTGTACGAATATGCTACTTTCCGCATCAGCTGTCACAAAATGTCAAGCGCGTCATTTCTATTTTGATCTATGTAATGTCCATATTATTACTAAAATCGATATGATTGTTAAATTATTGAAATTGTTGTAAATTAGATCCTAGATATTTATCTTTAACAATTATTATTAAAATAATTTTAAAATAACTAAGTTATGTTTGCTTTTTATTCTAGTTAAACACATAACCGATTAGATCCTTCAATTGACGCAAGGGTTATTAGCTCAAATGGTTAGAGTATCAAACTTTCTCAACTTTGCCATTTGAGACCTGGCGAGCGACTGCGTTAAAATCCTTGCAGGAGCAGAATTTCTTTTTGATTTTTTTTTTTAGTTTTTTTTTGTTTATTAAATATGAAAATTGAATAAATACGATTATTGTTGATTATTTTTTTAAATACATTTTAATTATAATAAAAATCTGGTTTTACATTTTTTGATGAAATTATTTTGTGGTCGTAGGAAAAATATTGTACATCAATTGTGTGAAAAGTGATTTTCCACACTCGTAATGTAATACTCTATTTTTCTATGACTATTTTTAACAATATAAGTAATATACATTCTCTTTCTATTGATTAATGTAAGTGGTTACTCATACAGTGAGTTTTGTTTTTCATAACTCAATTATTTCTTTTTTTACTCAATTATTTTTAACCATTACGTAATTATTTTCAACAAAATTCGACCACAACTACAACCTGCGCGGAAAACCAGTTGACCAGTAGAAATGTAACCACTATTTTTGATTTGGTTTCAAAAGCTTCTATTAATTTTTGAAACTGTTCTAATTTCACAATTAATTATGGAACAAATAAATGAAATAAAATATTGCATAACTCTTTTCTATTATTTAATTTATTAATCATAGAAAAAGTATAAGATTCTACTCGCGGGTAATGGCTATTACTCAGTCGGGTGATTACACTACTCGCCTGCGGCTCGTACTGCAAACTTCATCCTCGTGAGTAATATCCATCATTACCCGCTAGTTAAATAATATACTATAACTTTAAAATAAAATAGTTCGCGGGCGGTAAAATAGTCTGCGGGAGATAAAGGGGCATTTTACGCCCTCTAAACGTATTTATAATCTGGACTTTATCGCCCGGTCGTGCATAAAATAATTTATGACTTTTCCTAATTTCTACAGGGTGTCCCATTAGTGCGTAATTGTTCAATATTTCAATTTGTGTTATGGACACGCAAACAAGTTTAAAATAAAAGTTATATGAACTTAAAAAATACGTATTTTAAAAATATAAGTCAATTAAAATTGTTTGACAATGTGAAAACAATCAAATATGTATTTTGCTTCAAAAAAGTAATGGTTTGGTCAGCCCCTTATTTATGGACTACCCTGTATATTTAAGAATTATTGTTTAAAATTTTTTTTCGAATTTCCTATAGTAAAACAGCTATTTATTAATTGCGCACTAATGGTACACACTGTAGGTATATGTGTTACTGGCTAACATGTTGGTATCGTTGAATAGCTAAATTCATAAGGAATTTTATGCTAAAATAATATACAGGATGTGGCATTTGAAGAAAATGAGCAAATTGAACTTAAAAATAGCTATATTTAAGAGATGTTTCAAAACACTCTGTATAAAATAAATCAGTTATATTGCCACTATTCGTTAGCTTAGTATCTTATAAGTCTGTATACTAAACAATTTTGAAATAAATGTAAACCTACCTAAATTATGATAATTAATTTATTTTGGGGACTTAATAAACCTATAATATTTTAAAGAAAAATTCTAGGGTTGAATACAGTATTACCAAACCATTCTAAAACTGAAATAAAATACAGGGTGTTTAAATTGAAAAATATACATTTTTATTTGCCAGGCAGAAACGTAACCCTATGTATCCAAAAATATTTTTAAAATACGTATTTTTTTCAATTCATATAACTTTTTATGAAACTTGTTTGCGTGTCTATAACACAAATTGAAATATTGAACAATTATGCACTAATGGGACACCCTGTATAATAAAATAAACTTTAAAAAATATTTAATTTATTAGTTTCTATCCCATAATTGAACGCGGGACTTCTGCATGACAGCCAAATGCCCTAGTCTCTGCTCCATCGCCACACATAATATTTTAATTTTATTAATCGAAATTATTAAATTTATTTCATATAGTTTTATTAAAATTTATGATTTATTCGTAAATAAAGACAAAATAAAAATGAAAA